GGCCCAGGTTCTCAGCGCTGTCTTGCCCTGCCTTGCCCCCCACTCAGCCATGTGTCTCTCACACCCTGGCCACCCACCCCAACCTCGGCTTGCTCTGCCCTCAGACACTTCATCCCATTCCCTTTCCTGAATGAAAAGGGCAATCTTCCATCGAGTCGAGTCCCCTATAGGGAAGGGGTACTCAAGGGAGTGGATAGGGACACTCAGAGGGAACAAATCTCACCATGGCCTGGGGGGAGGGGCAGACAAACACAATGCTGAGGGGCCTTGGCAAAAGAACACACCTCTGAGGCCACCCTCCGGTCAGGGGGGCTGTGCCCGCCCCGCCAGGCCCTTATGTGCTGCACAACGGCAAAGGAGCCACCAGAGCTCAGGCACGTGGGAAGGGCCAGCAGCAGTAAATGAACAATCACACCAGCACCACGGCCCACTTTCCCCCATTTTACCCGGAGCGCCCCAACCTGAAGGTGTTCAGGGGGGCGGTGCATCTCACGCCCTGAGCCCACCTGCTATCTGACGCCTGAGTGTGGGGCCCGGGACTGGGGCAAGGGACTCACGTATTTCCTCCTGGCTTCCTGGAGCGCGTCTGACTCTTCCAACTTTCTGGCTTCATCGCGGAATTTTTTTATACTTTCTTTCATTTCTTTGTTTTTGGCTAATTCTTGTTTGATATTATCTAGCAGGCCGGAGAGAAAGCCTTTTCTGTTCCCAGAAGAATAGGACTTAGACTAGAAAACATGTAAAAAATGAAGGATTTTTTCCCCCTTTTTGTTGATAAAGATTTAATGACAAACAGCCACCTCTTTTACAACAACGACAAAGTTTAAAAAGCAGTAGGTGACCTGCCAGCAGATCCATACACTGAACTATCACTCAGCAATAGAAACAAATGCGATTCAGCCATGAAAACAACAGGACAACACATACGATGTAGATATAAATATTTCCAGTGAAAAAGTACACGCATGGGTGAAGCACATCGTGGAAAGGACAGAGACTGCATGGCTCGGACCTAAGCCTCTGAGAGAGGCTAACTCTAGGGACAGTAAGAGGACCAGGGTTGTGGGGCGAGAGGGCGGCTCTGTGGGGCGCAGAGGACCTTCCGGGCAGTGAGACTAGTCTGTGTGGCACTGTGAAAATGCACACAAGTCAGGACCTATTTGTAACCCTGATGGAAAAGCTACTTTAGTTAGCAATGTATCCTTCTTTACATCGGTTGTAACAAATATACTACCAAGATGTGAACCACAGGGGGCAACTGTGTCCAGTTGGGGGGAGGGGGGAGGCGAGGAGAGAGGAGGTATCTGGGAACTCTCTGTACTTTCCCTTCAAATTTTCTGTAAATCTAAAACTGTTTAAAACAAAGGAAAATTCAGGTGCCTTCTCCAAGGAAGGCAACGCTGGAGTGGAAACAAGTGCAGCTTGAGACCTTCATGGAGCCTCAAACACCTCCCCGGAGCAAAAGTCAACCCCAAGGAGGTCTTGGTCTCAGGACAGTTGAAAATGACTCCTCCCAAAGGAGCTGGCACAGGCACCGCTCTCTGGGCTTTTAGGACCTGGATAACTTCTTCTTTGGGGCAACTCCCCAAGTCCCCAGCTGGGACGCGCATGTTCCCCAAAGGCCTGGGGACTAGCATAAATATTCCTTTTTCAGTTCACAGGACCATAATCACAGAGAGCCCATACTCAGGGGGGTTCCCAGGGGAAACCTGATACACCCAGACATCAGACCCCAAGGAGCTGAACAAGAACCCAAGGTCCAGCTCGAGTCCAGCTCGGGTCACAGGAGTTGGTGGAATGTGCTGCTCAAGACACAGGCTTTGGAGTCAGACTCAGTCACATTCAGGCACCTGCTTTGCCATCTGTGGAATTAATCAAGAGTGGGCTCAGAAAAGAGAAACAGCTTAAAGAATTTCTCTGACAGTCAAGTCACTGGGGAGGGGTCGCATGTGGCCGGCTAGTTTACGTGGTTGTGCTGGGGGGTGGGTGTCACTGCCAATTTCAGGGATCACAGCCTCCCCGGCCCCATCAAGCTACACAGAAAGCTGTACCAGGTCTGGGACTAACAGGCTGCCTTCTCATGCAGACGTATCCTGGCTGGCCTTCAGGGACTGCACCACCTGGCAGCAGCCCTGCCACTTACTCTAAGGCTGTCAACTCTAAGGCTGGGTAGGAGTGAGTCTGGACAACTAAGGGGAAGCACCACAGGTCCTATCCTACACCCACAACAGCCCCAGAACACGATCAGGGAGATGAAACCTGTCAGGGGCAGACAGGGAAAGTGTTGAGATGAGACTCAGAGGGAAGGGAGGGTGTGGGCTATCCAACACATGGCTTTTGGGGGGGGGGGGTGCCAGGGCCCACTGTGGTGAGGCCCCAACAGAAGCAGTCGAAGAGGAGTGACTGGAAGGGCACAAGTTCTAGAAAATGTTACCTATGAAGAACATAAATGGTGAAATGTAGCTGAGGGAAACTGAGTCCCAGGAGATAACAGGTGACTCTGCTCACACACCAAGGGCAGGAAAAGGGAGGGGCTCTACATGGCGAAGGACTGACAAGGCAGTATTTAGCTCAGTACAGAGATGCCTTTCTACTCATTACAGTTGATATGTGTGACTCTGAAAGACAGAAACCCTATCGCTGACAATTTCAAGCATTTCTCTGGATACAAAGAGGACCAGGGAGCCTGGGCGCTTTAACTCGAAGACCTTGGATATAGAATGCTTGCCAATCAGATGCCCCTAGCAGAGGAGGCAACATCCTGCAGTCCTCTCTCCTGTTAACAAGATTTGATTTTCTAGATATCTCCCAACCACCTGCTTGCTGTGTCCCGAGTCACTCACCAGGAGCAGGTCTCTACCTGGCTGGCAAATCTGATAGGTACCATGGGGTAGCAACACTAGGTTGTGACTGGAAAGAAGCTGGACTCCGCTGCCAAGGCATCTCTAATTGGGAGAGAAAAAGAGAACGATCCACTCAGTAAAGAGGTAGAGGAACACAAGCCACACACAAAAAGCAGGCAATGCCCATGAGTTTTGCTGATTTTCTTCTCATGGCTGTCATATGTTGGATGCTGCCATTTTCCCAAAGTCTGAGAAGCCAGTGGAATATGGTGGAAAGAAAAAACACTGGGCCTGCAACTCCAGGTCCCCTCACTTCTGAACCTGGGGGAAACCAGATGGGTTCCAGAAAATACCAACCTATGGGGAAGAAAGCTAAATGTGCCAGTCCGACTTAACTCTAGTATTACAACAGGCATCCTGAGCTTTGACACTGGTGGCAAGCAGTCTCCTCACAAGCCTGCCCCACTTATGTCAGCCTCAGAAGACCAGAAACCTGGGCTTTCAGAGGTAAGAACTGATATCGCCCCAGGGACAACCCTTGAATAAACTTAAAATATTCCGGTCTTGCGTTGGACCGCAAGCAGGGCGACTCGGCAGCTTTGGACAAAGGACCAGCTAATCTCATGTGAAAGGAATTTCTTCTACCTAACGATGAACTTCAGCTCTGTGAGGGAAGCACCTGTCCAGTTGAACACTGCACCCAGCACCGAGTGGCACACTGATGTCAATGAGCAGACAGAACATTCCCTGGGCCTTTCCCATTTCCGAGCTTCCTCTTTCCGGGAAGCCTCAGCAAACTCCCACAGTTATGTGAGAGCCACTCCTAAATAACTTGCTTTACTTCTCTATATGCCTCTCCACTGACCCCGAAGCCACTGATTTCAGCAACAGTCTGAAGCAGAAGTGGATGGCAAAGTTGTGACAGAAATCCCATAGGACCAAATCTGGTTGGTCGGTTCACCATAGGTGAACCATAGGTCTTGCACCCCAATCCAAACATGGGTAAATCAAACCTCCAAATCCAGAGTCACAAGACAAGCAGACACACACACACTCCTGAATTAAAGACACCTTCTTCCCCCGTGCACTCACATTCCCCTTAGGTATTTTCCTTCCTCCATAGTCAGAGACTCTAGCGTCAGACTGACCTGGGTTTTAGACCAGGTCAGCCACTCCACTAGCTCTAAGATTGTGGGCAGGTTGCTTAATCTGTCTTCCCAGTTTCCTAATCTATGAAACAGCGACAGCAGGAACATGAAGTACTTTTATTTCCCCTAAATGCGCTTTACACGCCTTGACTCCCAAGAGCCCAAGCTCTAGTCAAGGTGAGAACTACCTTCCACACCTTCACGTGGAAGATTACGACAGGCGACGCAGGAAATGCTCTAGGTAGAGGATCCGGCATATAAACGCAGACGGTGTCTGTCACGGTTTTTGTCTTTCCCCTCGCTACTTTTCTTCACTAGGCGCTGCAGCCACCATTCACTCCGCGCACACGTGCGGTCTGCCCAGCAGGGCTCTGCCCCGCCGGAAGCCGAACGTCGCGACCAGGTTCGGGCGCGCAAGGGCCCCACCCTCAGGCCTCGCTCCGGGCACGCTGCTCTGGCCCCGGCTGACCCAAAGACTCCACCCCAAGCCTCTCGGCAAGCCCAGGGAAGGACCGCGGGGACCTAGGGCCAGAGGAGGAGGGCGTGGAGGTAGCGGACCAGCAGCCCCGCGAGGCTCGCCCTCTCAGTCCCGCAAATCTGCTCACCCTCGGGCAGCGGCACCAGCCTCCTCGCAGCGCCGCCGCCGCCATGTTGAAACATTCCGTGTGACCTTCCTGCGGCGCGGCCCGATGGCGTCATCTGCCGCGTCAGCCTGGCGCGGCAAGGGCCTGGGAAAAGCTGGGCTGGGGGCGGAGCCTCGGAGAGAGCGAGGCCTCTGATTGGACAATGCTCCGAAGGTGAGCCCGGGCCTCAGAGCGCTGGGCCACAGGGGCGGGCGTGGTCGGGGGAGGGGAATTCCTGCAGAGCCGCGCGCTGATAGGACACGGCTCCGGAAGCGCGAGGCGGCCCGCGGGGGCGGGGCTCCCGTGAGGCGGGGGGCGCCCTCCGGGTGAGACGGCTCAGGGCTGCGGTCTGAGGGCGCCGGGCCCGCCAGCGCGGGACCCACTCAGCACGATCCCGGCCGATGGACTGGAGGATCAGCCCGATAGTGAGTGCCTCTGGCTCTCGCTGGCCATGCCTGACAGCGACGGAAAGTGTTTCTCCCCAAGCACGAATTAGCCCATTCTTGTGGGCCCAGAACTGGAAGGGAAAATTGGGAGCAGGCTGGCGGGGGCGGGGGACCCTCCTCCGTTGATTTCGTGTGAACTTACACACCTTGCCCGCAAGAAGCTCAGGCCTGTATCTTTTCAGCATCTAGATACTATTTTCCATTTAGAGAATGCCGCCACCAAGTGGCGGTACCATGGCATGCCCATGCAATCTGAGGTGGTGGCGCGGGTATCGAGCTCTCCCTTGGGGTGGTTCGTGAATGCTGAGTTTGTCTATTTGAAGCCTTTTGCATTATTAAATTGTGATGAGGTCTGATCAATGTCCAATGCTCAGGGAGACAATGTCCACTTCTTGGCTTCAAGGTTGGTGCGATTGTGTTCTCTGGCCCTCAGACGCTCCACCTCAAGGTGGAAGTAGGGGTGAGGGTTTTCATGGGCTTTGCTGGACATATCTTTACTCCAAGAGCAACAGACTAGTTAAGCAGTGGGGTCGGTCGCTGAAAAGGCTGGGGTTTCTTTATTGTTTGAAACAGGCACCCAGGAAGAGATGTCAAGTGGGCATATTGATGGCCTAGAGGTAAAGTGGAGCTTCTTTTGGTCCCACATCTTAGTGGGTTGATGTGGTAGCTGCCACTCTCCCAGCTTCCCCATGCCACCCAAGGACAATAATAAGAGGAAAGATTCCAGAAAGTCATCCAAGAAAGACAGAGACCCAATGAATCTACCAGGGGGCGAGGCCAAAAAAGTCATGGTCCAAAGGAAAATTCAGGACAAGCTCAATAACCTCGTCGTGTTTAACAAAGCCACGTATGACAAACTGTAAGACAGCTCCCAACTGTAAGCTTGTGACTCCAGCTGAAGGGGGTAGGCCCTGAGGCTGACAATTCATGATTCCTTCACCAGGGCAAGGACTTAATAAACTGATTTAAAAACACAGAACTCAAGAATTTACAGCAGAAACACCAAGGTTGGAGACTCTCCAGCTGCAGTGAAGATGCATGAACAAGTCCTCCCAACTCTACAATTCTAAAAAAAACTATATAAAATAAAAAGTGGAGGAAGAACTCTCAAAGAAGACTGTCTTCAACAATTTCTGAAGATGAAAAGGAATCACAAGACTGTGAATGAAAGGGAGAGTTCTGCTGTGCCATGTGGGTAGCCCCCTGGCCGGGGATGGAACTCGTGCTGCAGTGGCTGCTGATAGCTTCATAGTGCTAAGACTTAACCCCTTGGCCAGGGAGGCCCAGGACTTGATTGCTTTTGATGGGAGAGATAGGAGTGTGTACAGGCTGAGCTGCTGGACGCAAAGAGCTATAGCAGGGTGGAGTTGATGAGGCCCAAGGTGAGGAGACAGGGGAGAGCCTGAGGGAGCAGTGTGTCTGGGAAGAAAGGTTAGCACTGCACCCAGGAAAAGAGGCCTCTCTCTCTGGGAGGGACGGGGGTAGTGGGAGCCAGAAGCTGGGAGGTCTGTTGCGGGGCCAGGAGGATGTAGGAGGGGTGTTGTCCCAGCCTCTGCAAAGCAGGTAGAGAATCCTACTCTTATTCCCCACCCTGGTCCCCAGTGGCAAGGGCGAGGGCATGGGGCTGGCACAGGCAAGAGGATGCTGTTTGGGGAACCTCAGGCAATGACTTCAGAGATTTCCCTTCTCTCGCCAGTGGGTAAGCCCCTTGGGAACTGAGACCTGGGCGCCCTGAGGCCTATTCCAGTATGGCACATAGTAGGTATTCAACATATCGACCAAAGGAATAAGGGGCCCTGGAAAGACGTCTGAAGAGTTCTGGAACTTAAAAGCCCTTATTTCTAGCCCAATTTTCCAGGCTGGTAATGAATTCCAGCTAGTTTTACCAGGTTGGAGGGTTGGCGGGGGGTCGGTCAGTGTTATTAGCACCTGCTAACACGGATTAGCACTGCCAGGTACCAGGAGTTGTACTTAGTAAGTGCTTTTTGCGCCTGGTCTCATTTAAGTCTTCCACCGGTCTCTAGTTACAGTGGTATTTTCCTGTTTCTGCCTAACGAATCACAGACTGGGTGGCTTAAGGCAACACTCATTTATTATCTCGAACTTTTGTAGGCCCAACGTCTGGCCAGCTGCCTGCTTCAGCCGGTACTGGGACAGGAAGAATGATGAGACTGCAGGCCCCTGTGTGGGGTGACTCCCATATTCGTGGAGCAGGCCGCATTTTCACACAGGGCAGAGTTGACGAGTCTGAAAACTGGCTAAGAAGGTAGCTTTCATGTAATGTGGTTTTGCTGGGTTCAAGGCCAAAATCAAGATGTGGGCCAGAGGGGCTCTGGTCGGGGTGCTCTGGGAAGAAACCCTCTTCTCAGGTCTTTCACGTTGCTGACAGAAAGACAATTGCTTGCACTTGTTGAATTGACAGTTTCCTTACTGGTGGTTGGGCAGGGGCTGCCATCTGTTCCCACACGCTGCGGGGGTTCCCCAGTCCCCCCCACTGGCTCATGGGGCCCCCTCCACAATGGCCCTTCCAGCTTCAAGCCTGCAGTGGTATTCCCCATGTTGCTCATGCTGAGAATCTCTCTGACCCACTCCCTGTCATCAGCCAGAGAAAACTTGCTGCTTTTACAGCATTATTAATATTAGATTGAGCACCCCCAAATTCCCTTTCATGAGATAACATGCTCATGGGGGTGATACTGTGGTACTTACAGATTCTGGCCACTCTCAGAAGGGTGGGTCATACCAGGGTGAAGAGCGATCATTAGGTGTTATCTTAGACTTCTGCCTGTCACAGTCGGGGACGGCTAGTTGTGTTCTTGCACTACAGTTAAGGAAACTGGAGCACAGGGTGGTGAGGTAACTTGCTCAAGGTCGCCTGGCTGCTGTGGGAGCTGGGGCTGGAACCCAGACTGCCATGTGTCAAAGCCTTAACTGCAGTTCCATGTGGCCTCTTGTCCAGCAGTGGGTCGGCGTGTCTCACAAGGAGGGCGTCTTCGACGTTGCTGAGGCTCTAACAAGACTGGGTGGCTTAGGGCCTCCCCCCGTGGCGCAGTGGTTGAGCACTGGGCTGCAAAGCTGCTGGCAGCCTCTGCAGTGCCGGTTCAACCCCGTCCCTCGGCGAGGGTCCCACATGGCACAGCAGACCTCTCCTGCCGCCCGCTGCTCCCCTCAGCAGTGTACTTCGTCAGTCTGCCTTTTCTGTTCCCCACTCTGGCTCTGGTGAATTCTCTCACCCTCCCGTGCTTCTGACTGTACCCAGTGCTTGGATAAATCAATCAATCAATCAATCAATCTTACAAAAAAAAAAAAAATAGAGACCGGGTTTCTGTTCTGGAGGCCAGCAGTACCAGCGTGCTGGGGTTCCGGGGACACCCTCTTCCGAGCCACAGACTGCCTGCTTCGTGCCGTGTCCTCACATGACAGACGGGGCAGGAGGCTCTCGGAGCCTCTCTCCAGGGCACCGTCTCACTTAGGAAGCCTCGATCCTCATGTAATAATCCTCTTGCAATGGCCCCCTCTCCTGAGACAGTCACTTTGGGGGTATGGCTTTCAGTGTACACATTTGTGAGAGGACACAAACATTCCGTCTGCAGCAGCAGGTTTAACTCCACACCCCAGGAAGCTGAAGAAGTGGCACAGATGTGCTGGTTCACCACCACTTCAGAAGGCCATTCTGGAAGGCAGGGTGGCAGGGATGGCACAGCGACTCCCGCCTTGACTGGGTGGTGGTGTCACATGTGCACAGGTTTGCACATCACTTACACCACCATCAAGCTGCGTGTCCTGCTGCGTGGAAGGGGCAGAGGCTGTCTCTGGAGCCCCTCTGATGAGGGTGTCCAGGCACAGAGTAAACATCCAGAGACCACAATGGCTGAAAACAAGTGTGTGCGCTGACAGTTTCAGTGCAAAGGAATCTGGGTGCAGCCCAGGTTCTCTGGCTCAGGGTGGCTCACACATTTGCTGTTGTTGTTTTTTTTAAAGATGTATTTATTTATGCATACAAGAGCTGGGGTACAGGCCAGAGGTATCGGGGGGAGGGGGGAGAGGATTCACCAGAGACAGAGTTGGGAACAGAACAGTGGGATCCACTGAAGTACATTGCTGAGGGGAACAGCGGGTGAGTCAGGAGAGGTCTGCTGTGCCATGTGGATAGCTCCCTGGCCGGGGATTGAACTCATGCTGCAGCAGCTGCCAACAGCTTCATAATGCTGCGATTTACCCCCTTGCACCACCAGGGAGGTTGTCATTTTTAAGATTATTCAGCCAAAATTTTAGGTTAAAAACTTGAAGAACCTGATACTATAATGATAAAATTACAAGTTGAAGACGTGGTGTTATTAAACCTCTATGCTTCATTGTGAGGACAAAGTGAGAACCAAATAATGTCAGCATAGAAGGAGGGGACAGTCACTATAGATGGCACTCCCGCTGGCCAGGCAATGCCCCATCCTGGTCTACTGGGGCCATTTTGTTTGCAAGGAGCCTGCGTGAGGGAGCCGAACACCTAAAGCAGGCACCTGGGCCTCGTGGGCGGAACCAATAGGCCGTCAGCCGCACTGAGGCTGGGTGGAGATGAAGGCACCTGCTGGCTGGAGACCGTGGCTCCCAGCCTCGAGCTAAGTCAGCTCAGTTTCTCCAGACAACCCACCGAGGCTGCTATGGGCTCAACGTGAGCCCCTCATCATGCCTTCGAGTTCTGACCCCCAGGGCCTCCGGGTGCAAGTACATTCAGATATGTGGCCTTTAAGAGATGATTAAGGTTAAGTGAGGTCACTGGCGCGGGCCCTGATCCAACCTGAGCAGGGACCTTCCAAGAGGGGAGACAGGACACGCTCAGGAACAGAGGGAAGGCGCCGTGAGGACACGGGGAGGAGGCTCACGCCAGGGAGAGAGGCCCCAGAAGAAACCACCCCCCACCCCAACAGCCCCTCTGAGACATTGGAGCCCCAGGATTGTGAGAAGATGAATTGCACCACTGCAATCTGCCCAGCGGTGCGTTGTGCGGGCAGCCGCAGCGAATGCACATCACAGGCCCTCGGCTCGGAGTCTCCTGGCCACCCCCCCACACCCCCTGCTGACTCCTCCAGCTCCTTCTTCTGGGCTATAATAGTAGCACTGGCACTGGCGGCGCCGCCTCTGCTCCAGGAGAGCCCCGGGACGTGACGTCTTCTTAGCCGTCCCACGGCCCTCGGGTCGAGGCTCCCACAAGCGCTCTCAGCCAAAGCTTCTGGGGGGCAGAAGCTGCCCCGCCATGCGGAGAAGATAAAAAGAGACAGGCCGGCCCGGGGAGCGGGAGCCTCTGTCCCAGGTCAGGGCCCATCGACCGCGCCAGAACAGGCTGGCGTGCGAGCAACGCGGGCGCTGACTTCCCTGGAACCTGGAAGTTGCAGTGCTAGTGCCACTTTCCGGGCAAGGAAGAGAAGGCCGCGGCGGCCCAGCCACTCCTGAAGCATGATGGGGAGTCAAAGATGCCTCGGCCACTAGAGCCCTCTGCTCTGTTTTGTGGGCAGGTCCGGTGGAGGCAGTGAGGAGTCGCCGTGCTCACGAGGGAGACCTCAGTTTCCTGACGCGGGACTTGGCAGCTGGGCCTGCCGGGGGCAAGGCGGACACGGCCCGGGGACGGGCGGCAGGTGAACCTTTGTCTGGTGCAGGGCGGACCGTGGGGCCCACCACTCAGCCACCTGGCTGCCTGCCCCCCACGCCCCCTGGGAGCAGAGCAGTGCCCCTCATCACGGCCCAGTTTCTGGCCCATGCAGGATACACGGGGGCGGGGGGGGGGTGCGGGCCGAGAGGGGCTCCCGGCTTCTCCTTGGCCCTTTGCTCCACACTCCTTCGGGACGAGCTCCGAGCTCCGTGGCTGCCCTGGTGAGTGGGGCGCTCCCCCTTTGCAACTTCATCTCTCGAAACGACCCGGCTGACCAGAGCCCGACGCTCTGGTGGGTGAAGAGTCGGCGGCAGCAGCTGCAGGGCCTCGGGGAGCCAGGCCTGACCTCCCGGCTCTCGCGCCAGAGGCCCCTTGCAAGGGTTTCAGTTTCTTTTAAAAAGGAAAACCACCCACAGCCCGGCCTGCACTGCACTCACCTTTATGCCCACTCAGTTGTAAAATAGATTCACTTGTTTATTTTTCAGATTTTTATTGTTTTTGATGGAGGTGACCTTGATCTACAACACTGCTCGGTTTTCGGGGCACAGCTCCCCGCCGCTCCGGCGCCGACACCACACCTCCCTCGAAGCCTGGAGGCCGCAGCTGGCAGGACGCGTCCGAGTGGGCGCCCTTCGTGTACGTGAAACCGCGTTACCGCGTGAACCGTGCCCTTCACGGCCAGAGTCAGGAATCCCTGTGACGCCCAGAAGCCCACAAGATGACCGCCCCCCCCCACAGCCCCCACTAAGGCCACGTAGAGGAGCCCCTGCGAGGAAACACTGTTCTCCGGGGAGACGCGAGATGGAAGTTACGCTCTGAGAACAGAGTCAGGAGGTGTTCCCCGCTGCTGTGGCCTTGGGCGAAGCACACCTCTCCTCCTTTCTCAGCCTGCCCCCCAGAAAGCAGGCAGATTTGGCCCAGCTGCTTTGTTCTGCCCTGCCCCTGAAGTGGGGTGATGAGAGGACATCCCAAAGTGCTTTAAAACACAGGTTTATTACTAGGGGTGGCGCGGCCTGCAGGAGGGCGGCCGCTAGAAGAGGTGCCACACTCACAGCGCCCAAAAGGAAGAGCCTCACACCCCAGGGCCTCACAGGGAGGCACAGGGTCTGTCAAGAGGCAGAGGGAGGGCAGACTGTGGGCAGAGCCTGTCTGTGCTTTCTGCAGGGAGGAATGGGCAAAGGCGGGCAGGCAGCTTGGGATGGACTAGTTTGAGCCATTTCAGTGGGTTGGAGGGTGAAGGGGCTGTCCCTGGTGTCGGCCCTCGGTGATCAGGTGGGGTCAGTAGCTTTGAGTCTCACAAAGGAGGCGGCGCTGGGGGTGGGCTGGGTCAGCTGGCTGGCACACGGAAGGTCTCCTGCCCTCTTTAGGAAGTGGCTGCCCTGGGCCCCTGCACCCGCTCGCCTGTCAGGGCCGGGCCGCGCCCACCACACCTCCTGTCGTGGCCCCTCCAGCGCAACAAGGTCCTTTAGCAGTTGTCTAAGCCCTGGCCCCTCCCCCTCTCAGGAGGCAGTTGTAGGAACACAGGTGAGGCGGGTTTTGATTTTCCACACAAGTGCCCAAAAAACACAAAGGCAACTTGAAAGCCGGGTGGAGATGGTGACAGGCGGGCTGGGGGCACGAGGACTGACCCCGGGCGCCCGACGCAGAGCCCTGCCCGGTTAGCTCCACTGCTGCTGTCTTAAAACTCTTAATGCTTCTGAAACAAGGGGCCCTCCAAGTTCTGTCCCAGTTCCGAGGAGCCCTCCGCGCCCAGGGGCGCTGGCCGAGCTGCCCCTGCAGGGCCTCAGCTGGGCTGCCAGGCTCACTTGCTCTGATGGAAAGACCGCGGGAAGAACCCGGGGTTGCGTCCAGGCCCCCCCGGCACGTGCCCTGGGGCGCTGAGCACCTCCATACCCGTGTGGCCGGGCAGAGCTGGCAGGAAGCATCACACGTCTGCTGTTCCCCGACTCCCATCCCTGACCGAAACCCAAAATGGACAGTTGAGAGGCACAGAACGCAGGGCAGTCAAACCCAGGAGGCCCTCTGTTAAACGGGTCTAAGCAAATTCCCTAGCACCGAGGGGTGTGTTTTCCAACAGGCCGCACTTCGGAGTGTTAGGTGAGTGAGCAGACCCTGCAGTAACCCCTCCTGAACGGGCTAGCGCTGGCATGCCCACCCAGGGCAGTGAGGCCCCCTGAGGGGCATCCCCAAGGCTGAGACAGCGTCATCCCTCCCCCACCCCCCCCACCTCCTCGGAACTCCCTCCCGTGAGCTCACTGTGCAAATGCCACCCAAAGGCGCCCCTCGGCCCACCCAGCACTGCACACCATGTGTGCATGGGGATCCTCCGTGTTCTTTTTTTTTTTTTTTTTTTTTTTAAAGATTTATTTATTTATTTATACAAGCACTGGGTACAGTCAGAAGCGCAGGAGGGTGAGAGAATTCACCAGAGCCAGAGTGGGGAGCAGAGCAGGCAGAAGGACCGAAGGACACTGCTGAGGGGAGCAGCGGGCGGCAGGAGAGGTCTGCGCGCCATGTGGGACCCTCCTCCGGTGGCCGGGGAGCAGCCGGGGATCGAACCGGCGCCGCAGAGGCTGTGGGCAGCTTTGCAACCCAGCGCTCAACCGCTGCTCCACCGGGGAGGCCCTCCTCCGTGTTCTTTTGGACCCCTGGGTGGGATAAAATGGGCCCAGCACCAAGCCAAGCTAGGTGGGCAAAGCAAGTTGTTACCTGCAGGGCTTCCGTGTGGCTTCTGGAATTTGGGGCTACCCCTTGCCAGAGCTCACGACCCCGCTGTCCCACCATCTGCCCTGCTCCTAGTGAGCACCAGGCCCGGGCAGGGAACAGGGCTGGTGTACCGGCCCCCACTCCCATGTCACCACAAAGAACAGTTCTCCTGGACAAGGCTGATGTCTATGATTTTCTCCCTTTTCTTCCAGAAATCCTTTTAAACTGTTGAGGTTAAACAAACAGAAACCCCAGAGACAGAGGGGTGCAGGCAGCGGCCCGCAGCCCCTTCACCTTGAACGGAACGATGAAAACAGCCTGTACTGTGGATTCTGGCAGCAAGAGCTCCCCTGCTTCACAAGGTGTTCAGCCTCTCGGGATTCTAAATTCCAGGGTGAAGGGGAGTTGGAATCTATCCCAGGCAACAGAGGTGGAGAAGGGGGGGTGGGAAGACTTTATTAAAACACACCCCACTTACGGCAGCCTCTGAAGCCACCTGCTTCTTATTGTGGGTCCCTAGAGTACTGGCGTTGACTGGGAGCTCACGGGAAATGCAGATTCCAGGCCTCCCCGACTGAAGTCAATCTACTGTCTACCAAGGCCCGGGAGGTGGATACACATTCCGGTAGGAGAAGCGCTCTCTCCGAGGCAGAGGGAAACAGACCCTAGGCACCTCCACAGTGCACAGCAGTGCTGGAGACAGCCTGGGCCTGGGTAGTGGGGAAACCCTGAGTCGAGGAGCATCCCTGAGGTCCCAGGAGCCCCGCGGGAGGGCCCCCCAGGCCTCTGAGCACAGGAGGTACATGCCTGGAGCCACCTCCTGCAGGAGGGAGCCCCTCTCCCTAGGTGCTGCAGGCCGCCTTCCTACGACTTACACGGGGTAGGTATTCTGAGGTCTCCCCAGAAGCTGTGGGGTCCTAGAACCACATCTGGAAAAGGGAGGTGAACACAGAATGAGATACACATGCACAAGAAAGAGAAAACCAGTGGTTTCAGAAGAGGCTCTGCAGTGTGGGGTGGGCTGGCAGGGGCTGCAGGGGCTGGTGCGCTCTGGCACCCTGGGCTCAGGGTGACTGACTATGTGTGGTGTCTACTTGATCTGTTTTCCTTCGCACACAGCTCCTATGGAGTGGACGTTATGAGCCCATTTCAGAAGGGAAAGAAAGTGGAGTTCAGAGTGGGCGGCTTGTCCCGTGGCACACTGGACAGCAGGCGTAGCCAGGACCCCAACCGAAGGCTGGCGCTGACCTGAGACCCTTGCACACTGTCCTGCCTCTGGGGGACTTACTCATTTTCTCATCACAAAAGATTAGTTCCATGACATTTGAAATGGCCACAGGGCTCAGAGGTGGGGAGCAGATGAACAGGAAACACCAGGGACAGCAGGAGACTCGAGGAACCTTTACACCTGGAGAGAGGGGTCTTTGGGCCTTCTGGGTGGGGGGCTGGCTTGTGAGTGCATCAGGGAGGGGGCAACGCTGGGACAGAGGCAGAAAGGCCGTGGAGAGGGTCTGGGTGTCTTCCTCTCTACAGCCCGGCTGGGCTTTGCTGGGCTATTCCAGGGTGACCCCCGCCCTCGTGGGTCAAGGCAGGTCTTGGGGAGCGCAGCCCATGCTGACTTAGAGGGGAGGCCGGCGGGCACTTGTACTCAGATCTGGCTGCTCACAAGTTATACACCATCAGCCCTACACCACCACATCTCAGTGATCCCACATTTATTACCAAAATATCACAGAATTCCAGTCATATTAACATACAGTGTTTAACACAAACCTGATACCTGTGAAAAGAACGAAGTATTCGGACAATTGAGTGGTTTGGAATCATAACACCCCAAACTATCACTCTGTACTTCAAAAATACGCTTTGAGAGCTTTGGAAACTGAATTAAAATGTCTACACAGCTATGAACAATTGTTTAATAAAACTTTTTCATGTTTCCATTACATGTAAATATATCAATTTGGCATCTCTATAAAAACTCTGAAAATGGTGCAAAAGTTTCATTCTCTTTGAGAAAGCCATTGACAAAAAATATTCACACTTCACTAAAATTTTGAAAAATGGTCTTCTTTCAAAGCTTCTTTATTAATCGGAAATCTTCTGGATTATCAAAATCTAGGGTTGCTTTTTCCTCCTAAAACACTAAAGAACATTTATTCACAAGATTAAAAAGGCAAATGGGGAGATGGAAAACTGAGAAGGTCTGTTTTTTTTTTTTTCCTGAAAATAATGTAAAAAAAGCTAGTTACATCAGCATCCTCCAAAGAACACAATGGGATTCATTTTATTGTTGACTTTTGGACAGCAGTGTCATACTTTATTGAAAACAAACCCATGTAAAAACAAAGTTAAAATGAAAAATGGTACCTGAAAAATAAATTATTTTATATAAAACAAATCAATAACTTAAAACACACTAATATACAAAATGTCTACCCGTCTACTGTACAACATGGGAACCGTTGGTAAATCGCCCCCCAGAGCAAGTCGCTGTAAACGGAACGTTACAAGGCAGAGAGATGGCCCCAACCGGCGGACAGGCCTGCTCTTCGGGTGGAAGAAAATACAGTTTTCTCAAAGTCACTGCTAGACCCGTGGTTAGCCTAACTCAGTCCCTGCGGTGACTTACGAGTGATTTTTTTATTCTAATGACCAAAAGGAAAACTGAATCATGTTACCAAAAGGCTGTGGAAAATAGATGGTACAATCATTGGGAGTCAGAGGCAAATGAGAAGGTTTGGAGACGGGCACCCTGTCAGCCCGGGCCTCGGGCTCCACTGCTCCTGGAAGAGCGTGTCCGTCATCAGAGCCACGCAACAGAGCGCGCTCGTATCACTTCTTGGCCTTTTGGCTAAGATCAAGTGCAGAGAGCACGTGTGACTCAGCTGGGGCAGGCCTGGAATCTGATGACCAGCTGGGGGTATTTCCTGAGGAGCTGCCTCAGGTCCCAGAAGATGCCTTACATCCTGGGAAGAAGTAGTTTCAGGTGAAGGGCTGGGTTGGGAGGGGGAGGCCAGGAGAAGAGGCCCTTGGCAGTTAATTCTTATTCTCTTTATCCAACCCAGGAAGGCTGCACAAAGCATAGACCAAAATCAGGCTGAATCAGACAGAAACGGATGGCGTCAACTTTGAATTTTAAGTCCAATGGTGAACTGGGGTAAATACCAAGACTTTTCAACACCTTCTAGGCAAACGACTCTCATTTGGAGGCAAACCAGGGTAAGTTATTGCCAATAATTGTTTAGGACTCATCTATTTGTTTGATCCGGCAGGGACAACCCCCACCCCCTACCACCCCAGCTTGAAGAGCTGGTTCCCGAGAGCAGTGGGCTCAGCCCCTGGATGCGGGCTTGCCGGCACTGACACCAAGCGCAGACTCTCTGAAGGTTAAGGCAGCTGCCCTTGGCAAGGGAAAGACTCACCTCAGGGAACAAGAAGGTGGAGCCCACCTGGCGCCATCTGCCAGGGGCTGAGGAAGCCCGCTTGTCAGCTCTTCTGGCAAGATGGAGCAGGGACATGTCAGTCACGGAACACGGGACTGGAAGCACAGCCAGAGCAGAGAACCAGGGCTGGGCATATCACACGGGAAAGCTGAAGGAGGGCAAGGCCAAGGGGGAAAAAAGGGGCAACTTGAACTGGAATCAGGTTCACAAATTTGGAGCTGCTTAGCGTACAACTACGAGAGGAAGTTACACAGGTCAGGAGAGAATTCAATCAAAGCCTCTTTGGTATATAGTTACCAAACCAAACTTTTGATAAATTAACATTATCTACTCTTAATTCTTTTTCATTAAAATTCCCAAATAAAAGGAGAGTACTCATTTTGTGAAATACAGTATATGATTAATCTATGTAAAAATTTTTTAAAAAATGTTTCTTTTGGATTGAACTTTAAAAAAACGGGATCTTCCTTTCACAAACAAGCCTAGAGAGGAGGGAATAAGCTTTGCGGCCACAGGGCCAGCATCCGATGCCTCAATGGGAGTGACAGCTAGCTGCTCTCGGATTAACATTTCAGAAGTTAAATCCTTCCACACTTGCAAATTAAAACTCCCAAAGACATGAATTGGGTTTGAGCTAGAAGGCTGTTCAGAGAGGAGACCATGTAAAATGAGAATTCTACTGAACCAAGAAACTTCAAAGGTAACTTTCAAAGGTCCCTAAGTATTTCCTATTTCATTCTCATCTGTGCCAGCATCAGAAGAATAACTGTGGTACAAATAAAAGGGAGGAGCGGAAGGAAGCTGTGGTGCCGGCTACAGCCCACGGTCGTGCTCACAGTTTATATTTAGGACAGAATTCTGTAAGAAATCGAATACTCGCAAAGGCCAGCAGGAATGTTTGCCAATGAGGAGATTTCGGAACAGTTTCAGAATTGGGAATCTCATCTTCACTCAGAAGACGTTGGCTCACGGCTACCACAACCTGAAAGGCCTACTTTGCAGCAAACATTCTGGTCCCAGGTGAAGAATGCTCTGGGGTGGAGAGAATGGGGACCGGCTTTGTGTTGAATCCAGGCAAACGGGCCTTGGTTCTAGGTTCTACAAGGAGGCACATATACAGGCTCTGACTTAGGATCTGGACATTTCTGAGGAAGGAAATAGCTCCTCCGTGGCACTTGGCCAACTTATAAGACAAGGCCTCAAAGTATGAACTTGGCCTTTTGTGGGAAAAGAATATGGCAACATCTTATGTTTGTGAGGATAACACAAACAGCTGGCAGTGCCTCGCTGAACCGGCAGGGAAATGGGGCGGAACGGGCAGCCTCAAGCGGTCCAGGAGCTTGTGGGGACACTGGCCTGCTCTGGAGAAGGCTGTGCCTATCAGTCAACACTTCCACTTAAATAAAGAATAAATAAATAGATAAATAATGCCACAATTCCATGATATCGGTAACTAATAAACAGCCCATCATTACATATTTTAGCCTCACGTCAAGGTTAAAAACTGCTGTTGCTAAGTTATCCTGTTCTTGATTCTCTCAGGATACCAGTGTTTTATAAAAATCAGATCCTGGTCCCGAGGAGCTGCCCCGAGACGTGCCCCTGGCCTGCTCGGGCCTCTCCTGCTCATTTCCCCATTTTGAAAAAGCACCACCTGCAACCGCACACTCCTGCGTCACAGATCTGTACATGCTTTGTCTTGAGGCAAGTATTTATTTCTTAAGCTCTTATAAGTCCTCCCTGAATGCTGGGTCGTCTGTACCTTACCTAGCCAAAAAGAAAGAAAAGGTAAAATAAAAAACAAAACAAAATTCGAGCAAAACAAAATCAAATTTAATGGTCTTAAATGCAAAAGTAAAAACAAACAAAAAACACAAAAAAAGCAAAAGAAAATTAACAGAACAACCCAAAATGTCAAGGCAGTTATGAAGAGAACTTTGAGGGTTAATCTTTAAAACTACAAATCAAAGGTTTTTGTTAATAGATAACTGGCAAGAAGTTAAGTACTTTTCTGCTGAGTGTTCATACGAAAGCAAGGTTTCAAAACAAAATCCGACTAAAATCGAAAAAAGTCTAGCGCTCACGAGAAGGGATGCGAGAAACACAATGCTCAAATGTTTATGTGTTATTAAAAAATAGAGCTATTGTAGGCATTCAAGCTACGTCAAATGCTTTTGGGAACGGGAGAAATCATTGTGAACAACAGTATCCGATGTGGGGGCACTGCGCATGCAACGTGTGGACAGAAATTTGGGATGTCGGCGGAGCGACACGTCTTCAGGTGGGCCTGGAGCTTAGATCTGACTCTGGAATATACTGGAGTTTCCTGGAAACTCTTTGGTCCGTTCCAAGGGGTGCCTGGGCTGACGAAACACATCTGTGTCCTTCTCTGGAGGGCCCGGCCCGGGCGTGGCCCCCCTCCCAGGTGGCAGCCCACACTGGGCGGGCTGCTGCCACTGCCAGGGCCGCTCGGCAGAGCCCGGGGCTGAGTGAGCAGGAGGTGGCCATGGGGCCTGCTCGGAAGAGCAACTTCCTGTCAACCAAAGCGTAAATCGCTTAAAATGTTGAAGCGGTTGAGGAAACGCACACTCAGCATCTAAGAGCTTTAGTTTAAAAAACTAAAACTAAAAGATAATTTCTCTTTTTTATCCAGCTTGTGGCGACATCGCATGAAACGAGTGTTAGACGGTCTTAGACGTTAAAGCATGCTTCAGATTCACCACCATCCCGAGGGACTGGTTAGTCAATGCAGTCTACTTAGACTTCTGTTTAATATATATTTTAAAGGAAATAACTTAAGAAACTTAAAATTGGTCTAACATTGTGGGATTTCAAACATTTGAACATGTCGGTTGCATCCCAGAGTATAAAAACCTTTTCACTTCTCATTTAGACTAAGACAAACACTTGTGAAAATTGGCGCAAAATGAGTTGTACACTAACAAAAAGGGTTCACCTCTTCACTCTTAATTATCTATTCCGTACAAAAAAGCATGAGCGAGTTATTTGTGGGACTTGTTGGTTTTGAAGGAAACCTGCAAGATTTTGTCCCCCAGGCGGTAGCCATTCAGACTTGCGATGGCCATCGCAGCTTCTTCATAGTTTGTCATGGTCACAAAACCAAAGCCTTTGCACTTGTTGGTGTTGAAATCGCGAATCACTTTCACATTGGTAACTGCGCCAAAGGGGCCAAACATCTGCCAGAGGATTCCCTCATCGGCATCTTGACCAAGGTTGTAGATGAAGATGCACCAGCCCGAAGAAGCGTTGCCTGGGACATTGACACCAGAAAGCCCACTCATGTGATCTACACCCATAGGGGAGAACCTAGCAAACAGAGAGCACAGCATTCAGGTCAGGTTCAGGGCAGGCCGGCGCGCTGATCGGGGAGGGGGACGGCAGCAGCATGTGCCGCCAGCGTGGTGGGCAGGGTGTGAGTGCCCAAGGCTGGCACCCCCATGTGAGTCACAGGTAGGTTTTATTTGAACTGAGAGGAATTCAAAATCAGCCTGGGGGGCGGGCGGCTGGCTCAAGAGCCATTTGTTGCCCGTCGAGGGTTGGCGACTCGACCCAGCTGCCCTCAGAGTGATGCTCTATCAGTGGCCTCCAGCCTGCTACCCCCTCCGCCCTCCTGTTGTGAGGGCAACCCGCTCAGTCACCCAGGGCTTCCCACATTTTAAATGGTAGGAGCTTGTCCATGTCCTCCCAACTGCTGTCCTGTTCCTGGCTCTCCCTAGAGGAAATGGTCCTCATGCTCTAGGTTTCTCTGCGTGTGGGGTGTGTGTGGGGGGCGGGGGGTAGGGTGGGGGCTGCATCTTTTTCTTTTTCCAAATTTTGGACCGTCCTCCTCCTCATGCCCCTCCCTCTCTAAGGGTTCAGTCAAGCAGTGTCTGGCTACAGCACAACCCTGTGGAGGGCCACTGCAGGGCACAAAGAAATTCCTTCCTGCGGTTCCAGGTGACCTCCTGTTGCTGGCTCCTAACAGCCCAGAAGGGTCAGGGACCAAACTGAAGACTGAACGTCGAGTTCACCAAACTTCACCAAGATGTGGGACACCTTTTCCTAAGTGACACATCAAAACTAGTGTTTCTGTGAAAACAAAGTCTTCCACAAACGCGTGCACGTTGTGATAAGGATTAAGGGAGATGATAAAATTGTTACTAAACATGTGGCCCTCTAGGTGGTCTATGATTTTAAAAAGTAACAGTGTTAGGGTTGATTTAAGAATATTTGAGGTTGATAACAGCATCTGTGAGGCCACACAGTGTAACAAGATTTACTGTCTCCAAAATAAAGTCAGTTTTGAGCTGTGGGGCTGATTTAGGGGCAAGTGGGGCGCCCTCAAGTGCCATTTAGCACATTCACTTTCTCGACAGACATAAAACAGGCAAGCAGCCCCCAGGGACCCATCCACTGATACAAGGGTTATGTTCAAGGCAGATAGGGAAGAACCAAGATGCGTTGGCCATGGTTTTAAAATCCTGAGAATGATTTGAAACAGCCCACGCCAGGTCTGAACTGACCTGATGACTCAGGTGGCCGGGAGAGGCCCTGAGTCTTTTTGGAATGACAGGGAGACCAAAGCATAGCCGAACGGGGGCGGGGAAGGCAGCTTGTCTGTGTGACATTAAGTCAAGTGGGTTTCCAAGGGCACGAGGGCCAGGCTTTTCTGAGGACCACGCTTCCTCAGGTTTCACAGGCTGCTGTCTTGAGCCTTCCTCCCTCTGTCCACCGCAACTACTTTCGAGGAAATCGCGTGTGGACATGAACAAGTATAACTGCTTTTACGTAGTCACTAGACTGCTGATAATCTGAGGTAATTTTTTTACTGTCTTTTATGAGAATGATTCTCATGCTTATCATAATTTTTGGGCGGCTTTTCTAACTGGAGGAGATTTCTTTCCTCTTGGCTGTTATGAAGCTCCCGGCACCACTCTGGCTCTGACGGCACAAAAGAAGAACTGACCCTTCCTTTACTTGGGAGCTTTTCCTCCTGTGATAAAAAATGACTGTAAACCCTACCCCCTTCTGGATCCTTTTTATTCTTAGTATGCCTTTGGGTGTCGGATCTCTGCCTCCATCCCTCTCACTCCTGCACGCCCCTTCCGTCTCATTTGCTTCCTTCCCTTGTTCCTGTGATCAAGGCGCCCCGCTCCTCCTCCAGCCTTCCCTGGCTTTCCAGAGTCACCACGGAACACTGCTGTCCACACATCTTGCAAATCGGCAGTGATGCCCACTGAGCTCTCGACTTTTAGAGCGGGGCTTAGCTCTCTCTAGAGACACTTCCTTGCCCTTTGACTCTAAATTAGAAAGGCCAACTCTGGATTCGAGCCAAGCTGAGAGCCCTGGACTACTAGACTGCGACAATAATCCCTTGCAAAATGGCATCTGTGGAAACAGGCAGGGTCGACCCCACCTCACTGCTTAGAACAAAGGCAGGAAGCCTGAAAAGTCAGAGAGAAGACTCCTTAACATACCCAAGTAAACATCATGCCACTTCTTAGTCATAACAAAAACAAAACAGAAAAAGGGCCTACATCGGGAGCCTTGCTATCCCTGAGGCAACACACATCTGGTTGTGGAGTCCCAGTTACTAATCCTAACTGTCTGTTTCGCTAGGTGAGATTCATTTTCAACGAGGGACGACTAGGGGAAACTGTTCACCTCGAGGACAGAGCCTTCACACAGACAGCAAAGTGGCGCTGGAAGGAAGGTGCATAAAAAGGTTTGCTATGGGCTGCTGATGAAACATTTAAGATCTGCCTGCAAGCTCTGGGAGCACAGCTCTCACCCGTGAGCACTCCCAGACTGCGTCTTTCCCTCCTGGATGCGGAGTCATCGTCTAAGCTCGCGGCCCCGTTCTGCTCTCTGACACACAAATGGAGGACTGACCCTTTCTTTATTGGGGCTAGAAACTGTACGATGGAGCCAGCACTAAGCACTCACTCTCTTGGCAGTGGGTGGCAGTAGGCACCGTGTTTTTTATTCCACCGAAGGTAATACTCAGATGTTAAGAAATGGCCTTCAGCTACCTTTCTGGTAGAGATGGGGACATGGAGATGTGAAAAAATTCTGAAGGCCAGTTCTGGACTTGAGCAGACTAGCAGCTCCTGTTTCATTGAGTCACCCAAGGAGCAGGCTCTGTGCGGCTTTAAGGAGCACAGCCGGGCATGGGGCAGGGCTGGGCAGTTGAGAGCTCTGGCCTCCCGACCCACCTGAATCTCTGCGCCTGGTGGTGAACGGGGCCTCCGAACCGTCTAGCAGGCGAGTGGTACAGCTGGGAGAGCAGCGCCACGTTTTTGTTCTGGTTGGGATTGGCTGCGAACTTCACTGTAATGGGCTCGGAGGAACCTGGGGGTTTATGACCATTGAAACTGGTAATTGCCTCTTCCGCTTCCGACCGTTTGTCAAACCGGATAAACGCAACCCCTCTGGACAAACCTTTTTAACAAACCAACAAAAATGGAGTTAGGGGGGGAGATGCAAGGATTTTTAAAACTGAAAAGCAAAAGTCAAGTCAGTCTGTGGTTCAGATTGGATGCTTGGTTAATGAAATAAAAAAAAAAACCTAAATATGAAAAACAAATGAAGAATTAAAAAAACAAACAATGACTAATAAAAGGTTATGATTTCAGACTTCGGGCTTAAGCAGAGATTCCACTGTTTGGGTGCCCACAGGTATCCTGGCGACACACATCCCAGATAGACACCCGGATCTTTTTTCTAAATGAAGCCATGCTAGAAGAGATTACACCCACCGTCCCCCTTCTGACGCCAGGGGCCCAGCCAAGTATGGATGCAGAGACTCTCTAAGGAGCAGGTGGGTGGGTGGGTGACGGGTGAGCCTGCAGAATGCTCCATGCCAGAGCAGCAGCTGCTGCCTAGGAGGGCCGGCGTGACCAAAGATCGGCGCAGGGCTTGTGCCTGGACAAGCCTTCGTGGTCTGGCCCGGCCAGGCCCAACAGGTCACTGGTTGTTCGGCGTCCAGCTCAACCTTGCACCTTCTCCTTTATCCCCAGAGGACATAGTCCTAATAACCGTCTCAGCAGATAGCTCTTCCTGTTGGTGCCACCCCACTTACCTCTCGTTATGCCACTGTGAGGTCCTGGGACCTCCTGTGGACCCCAAAGTGCCCTCAGAATGAGGTGAAGTAACTGAACTCTCCCCAGGAAACTGCTCAGGCATACACAGTGGTGCTGATCCCCACGCACAGGCCCCTCCCAACAGGCTAAGAGTCCCTGCCTTGGGACACTCCAAACGTGGTCCCTTCCTGTGTGGAAAGGCCAGCCCCTCTCCTGCAGAGAAAAATAAGGGAGTCAAGTGTGAAGGTCAAAGAATACTGGAGACGTGCCAGCAGAGGGCCCCTCTGAGGGTGAGGTCACTGGGCAGAAGCCCTGGTGAGGGACTAACACAATCCAGCTGCCCTGGCGCCTGACTACCAGTCCCCAGGCTGTCCTAAGTTGAATTTTCTCCTCTAGACAGGGTGAATGACAATGATCAAAGCAAGATGGTCCAGGGCCTCAGGCCACCAGCTAAGTGAGCACTCTGAACGTCCCCCCGGTCAGCTTCCATGCCCCACAAACTTTCTTCAGTTTCCCATAGGATCACCAACTGCCCCCACAGTGGGAAAAGGGTGTGGGTCTTCCCAGCTGGCCTGGAGGCTGAAGAGGGGCATGGAGGGACACAGGTGCACCAGGGGCCTAGACTTAGATGCCGAGGCTTGACTTAGATGCAACACTGCAGGCCCCCTTTCAAGCAAGTCAGCAACCCTGACTTGTTTTGTTCTAAAGCACACACCCCCAACTCTCCCCTCTTGATGGTTCCCCCCACCCCTAGGCACCCAGCCCTGCCCAGCACAGCACACAGGGAGGCTACAGAGTAGCTCCCGACAGCCTCCAGGCTGCCCCCACATGAGTTCCATGATGGTTATTTAAACCATATATTAAAATTCACACTGCCAGAGACACTCTGAATTAGTGAGATCAGCTCTGGCAATTCACACGTGTGCCAGGAAAATTCTAGAGCCTGAGCTCATTTTAAAATTTCAGTTCAGAAGAAACACCTGAAAACATGTACTTGGCATACGCTGTTTTTATTTACTTTTAAAGGGCACGGACGACAGTGTAGATAGATGGAAACCTGCATGAGAATCTGACTTAAGCACAGAGGCCTGAAGCTGCAGCTGTCTTACTCCTACAGAAAGCGCCTTCAGGGAGATGGCTTCACTGGGTTGTAAAGACCTTGTGATCAGGTAGAGAGAAAGGGTATGTGCAAGGGTGGCTCCCTGTTTGGTTTTGTAAATCACTTTCAAATGAAAATCGCTTAGTGGACTGAAGAAAACTCAAGAGAGAGGAGACTGTCCCCTGATGCACAGGGACATAAATTCACTGAGTGACTTGGTGACTGTGCACCTTCTGAAGGTGTCTCTGGTTTCCCCTCCCTCTGTTTTTCAGAATTAAGAGCAGAGACCAATAAAAGCTGCAATCTTCAGATGAGTAAAGTGCAAGATTCACAATCAAAATGGATAAAGGAGGAATGAAATTTAAAAAAAAAAAGTGATGTCAGTTCAGGAGGCTCAGGTCTCTTTAACGGTATAAAGTACAACTTCACAAAGGTCACATGGACAAGCAAGGTGCCTGCCTCACCATGCTCTGCCCTTGGCCCCTTTGGGTTCTGTGAGAAGGAGCACTGGGCCCCCAGGGGCTCACCCTTCTACTCCTCATTGTTGTGGGCAGGGCCCCCCCAACGCTTTCCCTTTCTTTCAGCCTCTGTCCTCTCCTCCTCCAAGAAGGACAGAGATGAGGGCGGGGTCTTCAGTCCCTTTGCTGAGGCAACAGAGGCTGGCAGCGACATCTCAAAATTGGGGTCCCATGCACCACTCTTAAGTTCCCAGCTAACCGGGGGAACAAGGTGTCCTGTCAGTCCAGGAGACACCCGCTTTGCAGAAGCAAGTGGGGTGAACCTCTCTGGAGGGAGCCAATGGGAAAAGCTAGGAGGGCTGGGGCTGGGTGGGGCTTCTAGGAAGTGGCAGATCCCAACTCAAGAGAGTAGGTGCTGAGCAGTGCTAGTGGCAGCCACTGGCAGAGGCACAGCAGTCCATGGGGATCTAGAAAAGGCAGGCCATGGAAGGACAATGTGGGCCAGCATGGTCACCCTTTGGGGCCCCCGAGCCCTCAGATGCATCTATAGGGGTGACGCTGGGAATAAATATTTGTGTGCACTGAGAAGCCTACTGGACTGTTCTCTCTCTCAACTGGCACTCAGAGATAAGTAAAAGGGGAACTTTAGGAGCCACAGGAAACTATCCTGGTGCAGACCAGGGCAGTTTATACCAAGTAAATGGCAGACTCACCTCACGTACCTCACCCCTCTATCCCCACCCCAGCCCTCGCCATCCACCCGGGGCAAAGGGGCAAATGCAGATGGTTTGGGGCAGGCGTCCCTCTGCACAGCCTTGGTGTCTGAGTAGGTGTCTGTGCCAGGCTATGGCAGGCCACCTGGAGTGCCCACAGAATGCCAACGACCTGCTCTGGAAGCCCTTCTCCTCAGGCCCTGGGGGTATAAGCGCTGCCCAGCCCTCTCAAGCCCAAACCCGATTCTGGGTGGCAGGAGGCACTGGACTTCCACAGGCGGGACAGGACAGGGAGAGCAGGAGACAAGGCCACCAGACCCAAAGCACACAGCTCCCACGGCCACTCACAGGCCAAGAAGTCTGCATCGTCTGGGATGCTGTTGGTCTCAGAAGGGAGGTCACCTCGAAACTATGACTTTCCACTTACCCAGTGTTTATTTCAATACCACAAACGCGAGGCAGGTGAGCCACTGTGTTGGGTAAACACAAGCTCAGATAATTCCATGGGCTTCCCAGAGTTTCTGAACCAGAGTCCTCTGCTCTAGGTTGTCAGCAAATTCCCACGTCTGCTGGGACTAGAACCAAGGAGTCTGGAAGCAGGGGAGGCCCAAGCTCACAGTCCCCAGATAGAGCCATGCACAGGTCTCGGCAGATGCACTGACCCCACTTTCTAGGCAGCAGGGCAGGCGGGCCCCTCGGTCAGGTGGAGCCCAGCCCCGACGCACAGGGCTCAGCCAAGGGCGTGTGGGTTCGCTTGTCAGCTGTGTCTGACTGCTTCAAGCAAAACCCAGAGCCCACACCAAAGTCCTGAGCTGAGGTGGCCTGAAAGGGGTTGGGGTAGTGCTACTGCCTTTGAGCCTGCATCCAAATCATGGCCACAGAAGAAGAGCTCATCGGAAACAGTCACCCCTGTAGGGCTGACGAGGGGGGACAATGCTGGCAGAGCAGTGATGATCTCGGGGCACCATCTATGCCTGCACTAAGACCAGCACTCCTGGGCCAGGCTGGGACATTTGGGTACCTGACAGAAGGTGCCAGAATTTCTTGGCATTTTCACCTTAAAATGTTAGCCTACTCTAGTCTTTCACGCCAATTTACCTTTTCAGTCCCATAAAACAAAAGCTGACATCCTCTCATTTTGATTCTGTCCTCATTTGTGGTGTAGTCAGCGCCATTAAGCCAGCAGCAAAGCCTCGGGGACCTGGCCCCCCAGGGAAGGCTTGCTGCGTGGCCTGGCCCACCCGCCATACCTGTGGTCTGATCCACCAGGACCCGGGAGTTGATGATGCGCCCGAACCTCGAGAACATGTCCTCCACATCCTTCTGGGTCATGGTCCTTGGGAGCCCACTGATGTACAAGTTGGCATCTTTGATGACCTCTGAGCTTGGGCGTGCGTATGACACCTTGAAAACAAAACCACTTTCTGGGGTTAGGACAGGCATGTGATCCAAGCGCTGAGGCATGGCATTACATTTCAGGCGGGAAAAAGCCAATGCTATGGTAAGAGAGCACCTGGTCCTCAGGTGCCCCCCGAAGAGGGACATTATTCCTTTCTTATAAAGCCGAGGACTGCGTAACCACGGCTGGTCGATGGCAGGGCCGGGCCCACGTCCAGCTGCCCGTCCTCCTACCACAGCTTTACGCTCCTCAGGTGAGCTGAGATGGCCTGTGCTGGCAAAGGGACGTGGTGCTGCCTGTGAGGCTCCCAGGAGGTGGTGGACAAGAGCGCCAGGTGTTGCAGGGAGTGTCATCTACCTGCCACCAGGCAAGCTGGCTGGGAGAACCCAGACGGGGCCCGTACATGCTGGGGAAGCCAGAGTTCAACACGTGAGTGTCCAGTATTGAGTAACCCCCAGCCTTTTGAATTTAGGTTTTCAAAATCAAAGCAAGTCTGAAAGGAACTTTTGCACTGTCTCAGACAGATGATGTATGTGTGCAGCAGGGGTGCGTGGCGGCTGCAGGGGCTGATGGAAAGGAAAGGTCCTGGACGCCTTTCACGGGGGTGACAGCTGCGTGGACCTGTAGTCCAGGAGGAGGAATGGGACCAACGTCACCCCTGGGAGCCACCTGGGAGATGGGACTAAACCACACACCAGAGTCAGACCCAAATGAGGAGGCTGGGAGATGCAGGACGAGAAGGTGGGGAAATGTGTGCTCCGGAAGAGTGGGGACTTGGACCTGTGCGGAAGAATGCTCTCTCTGAGGGTCACAAAGGCAACCTTGTAGGTCCCAGGCCACCCAAGGGCACAGACCATGGGGGTGTTCTCACCACAGGCTCAGGCCTGGCAGGGAGGGTGGGGTGCTGTTGTACACACTTGAATACACACACAGTCCTTTACTCATGTGCTCACAGCCTCTCAAACATTGGGGGGGAGGGGGCACCAACGACATTCCAGAAAAAACAAGACAATGCCTTGGCCAGCAGAGCACAATGCAGTCCAGTGGATGAGAATGAGGCTGAAACGAGAAGGTGTGGGGTGTGGTCAGAGCCCAACTTGGCCTGCAGTGGAGGCAGGGCTTGTGGAGGTGAACATGAAAGGAGAGAGCGGAACAGAACCGATACTGACCGGGAGGCCGTCGGGGGTACCAGGTTTTGTTAGGGCCTGGTGGCCTCCAGGCACGCAGTGCTGTGCAAGTCTCATATTCCCTGGACACTTCTCTGTGCGGTGTCGAGGTCTGAGGCCCCTTGGTCAAGCCTAAAGCGCAGGAACTTCAGGGACTCTTGAGGGTCATGCAACGGCTGGTTCAGAGCTGGGACAGGCTCAGCACTGACCCTGAGAAAGGAGGCTGCCTAGGCCCACAGGGCCTCCCACCAGCTCTCTACTCTCTTTCTCTGTGGCCATCCAGTCCAGTGGGGCTTAGTCATGCTCTTCGACTTCCAAAGGACGCTGGCTCTCCCTCACTCACCAAGGTTTAAAAAATCCAGGTCTATGTCAAGTAGGCCACAGAATACCCCACTTAAACTCTTACCAGAGGGGGTCACCCCAATTCTTCACCACTTTTACCTGAAGCCCCAGAGAGAGGCATGTACCTTGGGTCTGACGGCTGCAGGAAGAAGGCAGGCTCACAAAGGCCGAGATGTTTTGTGCTTTCCCAGGACCCAGCTGGGCCAACAGGGAGTGGCCTAGTCCCTTGCAGATATGTCTGAAAAGGGTTGCACCTGAGGTCTGTCCTTGACTTTTAATGAAGGGCACCGGGAGAAAGAGCATTCTGCAACTGTGAGCCCAACTGTGTGTGAACCTGTGAGGAGGTGGCACTAACTGTATTTATGACTGTCCCCAAGGAAGCCCCAAAGAAGAAACACCTTTTGGAGCCAAATGCCATTCTAGCCCTTCGAATATCAGGTGTCTTCAAGCACCAGGATAATGACTGCAGCTTGCCTCAGTCACTGTCAAGTTCAGAGTCCAATCAGAATCCAGAGAGACAGCACCAGAGCACCCAAACATGGCAGGTGTGGCCCCAACACCCAGAATCCTCTTTTCTAAGCTCAGTTATCACCTGTTCCTTTGTCTCAATCAGATCTTTTTCTAACTGTCCCATTCTCAAGAAACCTTCCTGTTAGGGGCTGAATCATGTCCCCCCCAAAAGTCCCATGTTGCAACCTTAACCCCCAGGATTCAGAGTGTGACCATATTGGGAAAAAGAGGCCTCACATGTCCTTGTGACCATGAAGTCACACCATAATAGGATGGGCCCCCAACCCAGTATGACTGGCATCCTTGTGAAAGGGGCACTCTGGACACCAACATGCATAGAGGGACATCGCCGCGGAAGGCAGAGATCACAGTGACGCTTCTACTGTCTGAGCCGAGAAACTCCACGGGTGGCCCGCAAGTGCTGTAAGCCAGGGTGGCGGCCGGAGAGGCTCCTCCCTCACAGCTCCAGAAGGATTCAGCCCTGCCCACACCTCCTCTCTGATTTGTAGCCTGTGAAAACAAATTTCTGTTGTCTCCCCTCTCCCAGCCTGAGGAAACGAACACGCTTCCTGACCACGGAACCCTCTCCAGCAAGCAGTGCCCACCCACCCATGTGCTTTTCTCTGGGGCATTTTCCATGACACTATATATTTTACTTAGCAGTGATGACGGCAAAACTTTTGCATTTGCTGCTGTAACACCAGTACCTAAACAGGTGTAGGTGAACAGCAGGTATCAGTAAACGATCACTAAATGAGTGACTAAAAACAGTAGCTTTATGAGTGATCGCGCCTATCGATCTGTGCCGCAGTCTCCAGAGCTCCGGTTGGGGACTGCCAAGCACTGGGCAGCTGGGGCTAAGTGCCCAGAATCAGAATGTCCACTGCAAGCCCTAGCCTTGACTCTCCCTATCTCTGGGACCTCAGTGGACCTGTCACCACTCTAAACATCAGCTTCTTCAAGGTTAAATTGGGGATTAGGTCCCCTGTGCAGAGGTGAGGATAACAAAAGTAGGGTACAGAGGGCTTGGTCCATTGTAAGTCTTTGATAAGTGTTGGCTTTGTGAATTTGAAGGGATTGTGCATGTAACAGGGCCACACATCTGCCCATCCACCCCCCCACCCCCAGCCCCGAGCTGCTATAGAGAGGGGTGTGGGGGCGGCTCCTCACTCCCGACTGAGACCAGGGTACGGCATTCAGATCAATGAGCAGAGCAAAGGCTGCAAGAGCAAGGGCTTCAGGGAACCGAAGCCCAGAGACCAGGATACAGACAAGCCTCTGGGAAGGGCCTGCCTGCAGGGTGAGAAGTGGGGCCTTTACCTTGGGAACAACCTAAGTTTCCACAATATGCTCAGTCACCAAGGTCCCTCCAGTTCCTCCATCCTTTCCTCTGCCATGCCTCGGTGTGATTAATGCCTCCTCCTTTTCCAGATGTCAGCTCTGTGGCTTTTGGGAAACCTCTGATGCTTCCTGAGTGGCTGAAGCTCACCATTACAGAACTTACCCCAGGTACAGGCAGAGCTAACCTGGGGATTAGCATCAAGCTCCCTGAGGCAGGCCATGGGCCACAGAACCACTGCACTAATCTTCAGACGTACTTGATATGGTGAAACAAGTTAATTCCTAAGAGATTGGGAGCTTTGGGTCAAAAATAAACCATCTAGGGCTGGTGGAGAGGAGCCAAAGCAGGCGAGCAGAGGACTGGCAGTGTGCATCTCAGCAGCAAGAGCTGAGCAGCCAGGGGCCTGTGGATGAAGGCTGATGGGCAGTGGCCACCAGGCTGCCACAGGAAGCCCAGTCATAGTCTGGCCTGAGGCAGAGGGAGGAAGCATATTCTAAAGGAAGGCACAGCAGGAAGCAAAGATCTGGAAAGCACCAGACTTGTCCAAGATCATAGGAGCCTAAGACAGACACTGGAGGCCGGGAAGGGGAGGGATGGCGGTGTGGGGCTGGAGAAGACAGTCGAAGGGAGGAATTACAGGTGGTGGCAGAGTAGGCCCCCTGGTGAGACCGGAGGATGCGTCCCAGGAAGCCACCCCAGCCCTGGAGCTAGAGGAGACCGGTGTCCTTTCTGCCTGAGGCTCTCCCCCAGGCTGCGGTGGGACTCGCCCTCCCCTTCCTCCACCCGCCCGTCACCCGAGGCCTCCCTACAGAGCACGCCCCGGCCCGTGTGCGGGGTTCAGCACAGGTGACCGCGGGACGGGAAGAGGGCAGGCGGTGAGCACAGCTCGTTACCTTAATGGTTTTGGACTGGAGCCGCAGGCCATTCAGCGTGTTGATCGCTCTCTCCGCATCCTTCGCGGTCACGTAGTTCACAAAGCCGTAGCCCAAGCTGTGTCCTACGTGGAGAACAGGAGAGCAGCGGTGAGACGACGGGCAGGAGGAAGCCGGGAGGACGAGGGGACTATGTCTGCCTGGGGTCAAGAAGACGGAGCCGAGAAAGGGCGAGGCAGAAAAGAGGCGACACTAAGAGCCGGGCTGCGGAGGCCAGGTTAGAGGCAGAGGGTGACCACTTTCTGCGGAGAACAACTGCTACGTTTAAGAAAAAAGGTTATTAAAAAGCAAACAGGGCCTCCCCGGGGGCGCAAGGGGGAAAGTGCAGCACTGTGAAGCTGTCCGCAGCCACTGCCGCATGAGTTTGACCCCGGCCGGCCAGCGAGCTACCCCCAGGGCGCAGCAGACCTCTCCTGCCTCCCCGCTGCTCCCCTCAGCAGTGGATTTCAGTCGATCCACCTGTCCTGCTCCCCACTCTGTCTCTGGTGAGTCACCCCCCGCACCTCTGGCCTGCACCCCAGCTCTTGTATGCATAAATAAATCTTTTTTTTTTTTTTAAAGATTTATTTATTTATGTATTTATACAAGCACCGGGTACAGTCAGAAGCGCGGGAGGGTGAGAGAATTCACCAGAGCCAGAGCGGGGAGCAGAGCAGGCAGAAGGACCAAAGTACACTGCTGAGGGGAGCAGCGGGCGGCAGGAGAGGTCTGCGCGCCATGTGGGACCCTCCTCCGGTGGCCGGGGAGCAGCCGGGGATAGAACCGGCGCTGCAGAGGCCGCGGGCAGCTTCGCAACCCAGCGCTCAACCGCTGCACCACCGGGGAGGCCCCATAAATAAATCTTTTAAAAAAATAAAGAATAAAAAGCCAACAAACCGCTGCGTTGCCGGCTGCACGGCAGGAGCCCACCATCAAAGCCACGGGCAGACTGACCGGCGGTTGCCCCGCTCTGAGGGGGGCCTAGGCGGAGGGGAGGATGGTCACCCTAGGCAGGCAGGCAGGTTTGCTGGGCTCTGGTGCTACCCAGCCTCAGTCTCCCTTACTTCCCCGAACCCCGAGACCCCGGGGAGCACAAGGAGAAGCCAGGGCAGAGAGGTCCCTGTCAACTGGTTCCTCTGGGCAGGAGGCACACAGTCAGGGACGGGACGAGGCAAGCAGGCCCTGTTCTCGTGACGTCAGCCCTAGGTGCCTCCTCTTGGCTCACGGGCATGGTTCCCATGCAGGACCCAGTGCTTACTGACTGCCGCATCACCCTCTCCATGACCACCCGTGACCCTGGGTGCTGCCCCAGGGTCATGATGCAGTTCCTGGAGCAATCCAGAGCACTGGGCACTTCCCTGCCTCTTGAAGCATCACCTCCAGGGAGTAAAAAAAATAGCAGGTTCTCCTTCTATCGCCTTTCCTTCAGGCTGCTGCTCCTCTCCCACTGCATCAACATGGTGCCCCAGGTTCTGCCTGTGGGTGACATTCCTGACCACCCACGTGTCCACACTGACCAACATCACCTAGGAACTTATCCCCAGTGATCACTGCCTCCTTCCCCTTTCTCTGTCCTGCTCCCCTTCCAGGTCTCACTGAGCCAACATGTATGAACTGAGCACCTCCTATGTGTTGTGCCAGCTGATCATGGTGTCCGACAATCACAAGTGAACAGTTCATGTGTTAATGACACATGTCCCAGTGGACAAGGCAAACACCAAGCCAGCGAGAAACAAGTATCCACGCTACCAGGCAGGTGCAACGAAGACAATCCCCGTGCAATGACAGGAGGCGCCCCACAGACAGAGCAGTCAGATGTGCCCTCTGAGGAAGACGTCAGGATGGCTGGACTCAAACATTCCACACAGAAGTGTAAGCACCAACTCGCGGAGGCAGAGATGACATTGTGTTCAGGAACTGGAAGACCGCGAGTGTGGACAAACAGAACGAGCCAGGGCTGGGCTTGCTTTCCCAAGCGGCTGCTGGGTGGAGCATGAACTCAGAGGGGCAGCTGCTGGGGCCGAGCCCTACAGGGAGCCTGGGGCTGGACCAGATGTGCTAAAAGGGTAACATGCCGCAAAGGTGGGAGCAGGGGAAGACCTACCAATGGGACCTGGAGAAGGGGCCGCTCCCTAGGGAGGCAAGGCCCCTGGCATCATGCCCAGGCTGGACATTCTGGGGCTGGAGCCTGGTGGGAAGGGCTCTCTGAGCAACCTTGTTGTCCACTCAGGGTCTCGTCTGCCCTCTGTGACGGGCCTCCCGGTGCAACAGGAGGACAGCAGTGAGGCAGAAGGGAGCCCCTTCTCTTTACTCATTAGAGAAAGCAACAGACCAATGTGCTAAACACAGTGAGCGCCCACTTTCACCCCATTCTTCACCCCAAACTCTCAATTCTGACTGCTCAGCAGAATCACCAGGGCAACTTCTAAAAACTACCCAGTCCATTAAATCCTAGTGGAGACGGGGCAAGAACGGGGCATGGTTGATGTGGTTCTGACATTCCATTCAATGTCTACTCCATTGTCAGCTCAGGTCGAAAGCTGCTGCTGGGGCTCATGAGGAAGGCAGACACAGAGATGCCTGGGGGAGGCCCTCCCTTCCCAGAGCAGCCCCCGAGTTACTGCTTTCCCAAGCAGGATTCACCAGCTCTTGCTTCCCTACATTACAGGAAGAGCACACCCCCCCGCCCCAACTCTGACACAAGCCAGAAGCTCTGGCTTTCTCACGTGCCTTGGCCCCAGTGAGCCCCCTCCGGGAGGGCTATGACGCAGGAGTTCAAACACTCCAACTTCAGCGGCTGACTCAGTAGGCGTGGACAGGGCCCAGGCCTTGCATTGCTCAGTGCCCAGGTGCTGCTGCTGCTGAGGGCTGCCCGCCAGACCCTCCCCCAGAGCCACCGCCCTCAAGAAAACCCTGACTGTCCCTCTCGGGAGGGCTCTTCATGACCCTGGGAAAACTCACTCAGATCAGGGTGCTCACACTGCCAAACACATTTCTCTTTCTCTTTAGACAAGGATTCAGACTAAGGGGCCCCCCTGGTGGCACAAGGGGTTACGTCTCAGCACTATGAAGCTATCAACAGCCACTGCAGTAGGAGTTCTCCCTGGCCAGAGAGCTGACCCACAGGGCACAGCAGACCTCTCCTGACTTGCCTGCTGCTCCCCTCAAAAGTGTATGTCAGGGCCTCCCCGGTGGCGCAGCGGTTGAGCACTGGGTTGCGAGGCTGCCCGCAGCCTCTGCAGCGCCGGTTCGATCCCCGGCTGCTCCCCAGCCACCGGAAGAGGGTCCCACATGGCGCGCAGACCTCTCCTGCCGCCCGCTGCTCCCCTCAGCAGTGTACTTCGGTCCTTCTGCCTGCTCTGCTCCCCGCTCTGGCTCTGGTGAATTCTCTCACCCTCCCGCGCTTCTGACTGTACCCAGTGCTTGTATGTATCAACCAATCAATCAATAAATCTTTAAAAAAAAAAAAAAAAAAAAAGTGTATGTCAGTAGATCTGCCTGCTCTGCTCCCCACTCTGTCTCTGGTGAATCCTCTCACACACACCCCCCGCCCCCCACTAGAACCAGGTGTGTCTGGGAAAGCTCAAGCAACTCAGTCAGGAGGGTAAGTGGGAGGAGTAATGGCTAGAGATGAGGGGGACAGACCCCCAGGAGGCAGGGGTGTGGGCTTTATCCTGACCAGAAGTGCATGGCAATGAGGCGGAAGCTGAATAAATAGGCTGGAGGCCAAGGATCAAGGGGCCGGCATGGCACACAGTGCAGGAGGTTGGGGGATGGTTCCTGGCTGCCACGGGTCATATGGCATCTGCAGAGGGACCAGACGCCAGGACCTACCAGAGCACAGGGCTGCACAGTGAGGCTAGCTCATGACTGTGGTTGGAAGAATTAATCAGTGCAGGACCCCAGCATGGAGGCCTGGCCAGTCGGAAACATTCCGAATGCGGAGGCCTGCACACCTTAGACTGCCGGCATCCCAGCCACACAGCAGCCCTCCTTTCTCCTGTCACCCGTGCCTGGTCATGGCTGGCACTAAATAAATATTTGCTGAATGAACGAATGTCATTTGGCTCTCCCTTCTCCCCCAAGCTCTAGATTCATGGACTCATTAACTCATAAACGCTGACTGTGGCTATCTCGAGGGATAGAGAGATTATTAACAGGGTCCCCGCCTCTTGAAATATATGAACCTGTTGGACAAGAAAGTTCCAACTTCGGTGCAGGGTGAAAACCCATGTTGAGAAAAGTGGTAACACAGTGAGCTATTTGTGCAGTTTGAAAAGCTGCCAGTGAGAAAACGAGCTGAAACGCCAGCCCGCCTACTCCTCAGCCCTGCATGTCCCTTATCTTGCCCAAAGACAAGAAATACTTTATTTCTGACATAATTGACGTAAAACATTGTCTAAGTATATGGTGAGCAACCTGCTGTTTTGCTACATTAATACAGTGAGACTTGTTCTCTTACACTCTTTGCAACAGCTCTGCGCCTTAGGTATTACAGTAGATTTGAAGAACTTGAGGATTTCAGGCTTGAGCTAACATCAAAGGTCCATAATGTGCAAGTAGTAAGTATTTTTGTTTTGGTTGCTGTGTGCTAAGAGTTATCTAACAAGAGAACCTGGTCAGCTACTTTGCACACACACAAAAAAAAGTTTTACCGCTGAACAGAAATCATTTCCAAATTATACTTCTGCTTTCATCAGTTCTCAAAATCAGTTCTCTCTTGGGTTGATATCGCCAAATGGAGATGACCTCATTAACACAGCTCACACTCCTCTAAAAAACTGCAATAAGCGAACAGACAAAGACGACAGGTATGGTGAGGATGTTTGTAAAACTGGACAGCAATGCTCAGGAATATTAATGGGGCTGAAAATTTCCTTCCACCAAAACATAAAAGAAGAAAGGTGAGACTTGTTAGCAACACAGAACTCTAAAATCCCTTTGAACAAGGATTCTTATTCAAGATGGTCTCTTAAAGCAGGAGATAGTAGTTTCTAGAACATTCTAACACTGTCCAATTTAGTATATGATCTAAAGTTTCTATTTATAAGATATTTATTAAATCACATGTTCAGAATTAGAAGGGCACTTAAAAGACTTTTAGTTCAATCCTCCTCCACCCCTCCCCCAATCCCATTAATTTCCATACAGCAGTCAGCTGGCCTCTTTAGGAGTGTCATCCAGGGGCAAGTGACATCACAATGCTGGCAAACGTAGGGAGTCAACAAAGCATGATAATGGGTACACAGGATTTAATATATTACACTATTTTTATGTAAGTGGAATAAAGCATTATTTTATTTCCATAATAAAATTGAGCTCTTACTTTTACTTTCCTGTGGAGGGAACCATAGTCTACAACCCAGGCAGTCCTCCCTCTTGGGAGGACAGCGGACAGAGAGGAGGACGGTGAAGGGGAAGAAGAGGCAAGTGCTCCTCAAAACAATATTCCTACCTGGGGAGGTAGGTGCTTCATAGCACCTGGTCTTTCCAGATCTTTCTCGAATCTTTGAAACCATGCTCTCAGAACGGACGCTGCTCTAAGGAGGGCCCTAGGTACCAGGCCTTCTGCAGACCCTTATGAGGTGGGTGTCATGAAGAAAAAAGAGCCACTACTATGACTGCGTGGATGCAGACACTGAGGATGAGAGATCGGACTGTGAGGGAGGGGGCAAGCAGGGGGCACTGAAAGGGTCTGCCAACCCCACATCTGCCAGGTGATCTGCTGCCTATTTCTGCCCCCGGAGAGCTTGGGCTCTGTTTCAGATGGTCAAGTCAATGGCGCAACGGCAAAGAGTCATATGGCCCACGCCTAACAAAGGGCAGCCTCGAGGGACTGGGCTGCTGTGTTGTCTCGGCCCTGAGAGTGCGCAGAGGCCTGGAAGGAAAAAGATGGGGCGTTTAGGCCTCCCCTGGGCAGGGTGCTGCCAAAGTCCTCCGCAGGTGGGGCCAAACCAGGCCAGGCTGTCATTTTTCGGTCCCTTCTAGCTGTCTGGGCATTCCCCATTTCTGGAGTCCCCTCAGGTTCCCTTCCCTCCCACTACCTCATCCTGTACATGCGCTTTGTCTGATGAGGGACTTTTCCCTTCTGGGATCTCGAGTTCACTGTGATATCAGGGCAGCAGCAAACAGAGTCTGAGATAGGAATAGAACATCACGGGCATCATTTCAAGGCTGTGACTCTCCCGCACTGAGGCACACTGCAGAGTCACAGGGCGTGGCAGGAGAGCCCCAAGTACCCCTGTACAAATGTCTTGCTTCTTTACCTGCTACTTTATCCCGAATAAGTTTTGCAGATTCAACTTCACCAATACTGCTAAACAGACTTCGTAACTCATCCTGGGTCATATTCTGAGGGAGGTAGTTGACAATTAAATTCGTTCTCCCGATATCATCCCTGCAGTCTTCGGCCATGTGGTCTTCATAACCATTAGACATTGTATTTTTTTAATACTCTGCAGAGGAAAAAAAAAAAAATCAAGAAAATGTTCATATTGCAGAATATTAAGACAAAACTAATAAAGTTTTGCACATAAAGACATTTTTCTTTTCAACACTAAGTTCAACTTTGGTCTGCACAAAAATCTGCACCTGGATGTTTACAGCAGCTTTATTCCGAAGTGCCCCCAAGTAACCAAGATGTCCTTCGGGAGGCAAGTAAATCCCAATCATCTGATACATCCACATATAACCGAGTGCTAAAAAGAAATGAGGTATGAAGCTATGGAGCCAGAAAGACCTTAAATGTATATGCCAAGTGAAGGAGAGTGCTAAGGCTACACACTGTATGGCCCTCACTGCACAACAGTTGTGTGAAGGCAAAACTACCAAGAGAGACAGCAAAAAGATCAATAGTTACCAGGAGTGGGATGGAGGGCAGAGGAATAGGTGGAATACAGGATTTTTTAGGTCAGTGAAACAATTCTGTGTGACACTGTAATGGTGGCACGTTTGTCAAAACCCCCAGAATATGGAACAGCAAGAGCAAACCCTAAAGCAAACTATTGGCTTCAGTTAACATGTGCACACATTGGCCATTAGGTATCTATAACAAAACACCACATTAGTGGAAGATGCCAATAAAAAGGAAATCCTGTGTTGGGAAAGGAGTATATGTACTTCCTTCCCAGTCTTTTTGTGAACCTAAAATTGCTCTTAAAAAATAAAGACAAAGCAACTCTGAGTACAGCCATTTCCACTTACTAAGAGGGTTTTAAAAAGAAAACACAAACAATTCTAGCACCATAATTCAAGCTCCTGTAAAAAGTTCGGGGGGGGGGCTCCCCTGGTGGTGCAGGCGGTTGAACGCAGCACTGTGAAGCTATCCACAGCCTCTGCAGCGCGGGTTCGATCCCGGCCAGCTGGTGAGGGTCCCACATGGCGCAGTGGACATCTTGTGTTGCACCCGCTGCTCCCCTCAGCAGTGTATTTCATCAGTCTGCCTGTTCTGTTGCCCACTCTATCTCTGGTGAATCCTCTCACCGTCCCACAAATCTGGCCTCTACCCCAGTTCTTGTATCTATCAATCAATCAATCAATCAATCTTCAAAAAAAAAAAAAAAGTTCTGGGGCTGTCTAGAGTGTCTGAAAATGTCTGATTGCTTTCTCTGGTCGCCCTTTGCACTGCTGATGCAGCTAGAGAGCTAGAGACTGAGGAACAGGGGTCCTGAGCACCCCAGCCCAGACATCCAATCTCTCTTCAAGAAGGCAGGCAATGGCTTTACAACCTTTTATCTCAGACCATAGCAACTGAGTCAGAAAGGAGGTTGGATTTCTCTACCAGTGGGAGGAGCTCGGACTTCAGTTTGCAGGCTTTGGAACACCTCAGCTGCCGCAGAAGTCTTTGGTTTCTGCAGAGATGGTTTCAGAGTGGAGTCCAGAGAAACGCAGCTAGAGTGCCAAGGCAGCGCTTCCGAAAGCTTTGCGGGCAGTGCCGCCTAAGCCAAGAGGGCACAAGTCCCAGCCTCTGAATATAATGGCACTCCCCCTCCCCCTCCACCGCCCTGAGGTTGAAGAGTTGTCCGTCCGTCCGTCCTTCCGTCCGTCCGGGGAGAATGATTCCTTCTGCCCACTGGCCTGGCAGGCCTTTGGAGACAGCCTACCCATCTCTCCACATCCCTCCTGCCAGGTTCTGCTTTTATGCTTGAAAATCCAGTGCCTATCTTCAGGAGCCTTCAGTCTTCTTCAAAAACAGCCTCACCAGCGATTACATAAAAACCTGAACAGACAGGGGTTTCCCACCCACTTGGAGAATCAACGATGAGAGGAAGTAAGTATGGTTCCTTGTTTCCTAGTGGAAACATTCATGTTTTTTCTCCTTTTCTACTCTCTTGTTTCAGATCATACCCAATGTGCAGAATTCATCCAATTTCCCAGCGTTTCCCCTATTTTTTGGAAAATGTTTCATGCTTCCTGCCTCTTACATAAAGTGTTACCACCAAAACCATAAAAGGAAAGATTGGAAAGTTAGACTTCACAAGACTGAGAAGTTGTGTAAGGCAAAAGGCATCATAACCAGATAAGCAAGAGACTGGGAGAAGTACTTGCTACCTAGTCCACTAATTAGAGCAGCGGATCTTGTCCTGGGTGATTCTGTGTAGACACTCTGAGGGTCACGGCTTAGGGTGGAGGTGTGCTACTGGTATCTCGTGGGTGGAGGCCAGGGATGCTGTTCCCAGATTCCACACGGCAGCGGGCAGCCCTCCACAACAGAGAATTACCTAGTCCAAAAAGGCCAATACAGCTGAGGCTGCGAAAACTTGATTGGGAACATCTACAAGTTATTAAAAAACAACAACATACCTCTAGTATTAAAGTGGACAAATGGCAATTCAAATGGCAACTCCACCATGAGAAGACGCTATGCTTCACAAACACCAAGGAAAGTTCAGACTAAAGAGATGCTGCTTTCTACCTACCAGATGAAATACACCCCAGGATGGGAGAAGTGGGGAGAGCAGAAGGGGGAAAAACACCCTTCTGCACCACTGATACAAGCGTGACATGGTACAACCTTTCTGCAGAATCTGGCAGTGCCCACCAAGATCTTAATGTGAATGCTACCCTTCACTTAGAACATTAGGAATTGTTCTACAGAAATAATCACGCATGTGTTTCTGAGGAATATGGCTGTTTAACCTGTGGTTGGTCAAACAGTGCGTATAATTTAAATAAGCATCGATGTGGGGGGTGGTTAAACAAACATCAATTTTCAGTACAAGTGTGGGACTGCCAATTTTAATGGGTTTAATCATGAAAACCTTCATGAATTTGTTAAACCATTTGTGGCAAGGACACCTGAAAATAGATCATTAGCTCAAAAACAAACACAAGCATTTGCTGAAACCTGAACCAAAGTGCAAGGGTTAACTCCACCCTGAAGTTTCCTCAAAATGTGACTCGAACATTTGTCTTCTCCTTCCTCTTCACTTCCTCCCCCTCCTCCTCTCTCTTCTCCTGAGCTACACACACACACACACACACACACGCACGCACGCACGCACGCACGCACGCACGCACGCACGCACGCGCGCTCCTGCCCTCCCCCCAGCCTGCTTTCCCAGATGATAACCGGGATGATCATCGCTCCATTCTCACCACCTAGAATGAGGGGTCTTGCATGCCTGGCAAAAGTTAACTTTCTAAAGGTTGGCAAATCGTGGCCGGTGGGTCAAATCTGGCCCACCACCCGATTTCATAAAGTTTTATTGGCATACAGCTAGTCTCGTTTGTTTATGTATGGTCTGTGGTTGCTTTTGCACTATGGTGACAGAGTTGAATAGTTGTGACAGAGACCATATGGTCCACCAAGCTGGAAATATTTACCATCTGGCTCTTTACGAGGAAAGTATGCCGACCTCTGCTCTAAAATGTAAAAACTGAGAATTTCCAGTAGAAAATCTTTGTGACACTGGGTGAGGCAAAGATGGCCAAGACACTTGACCTGAAGTCCCTTTTCAAAGAAATGGATAAATTTTGGTGATTTTTAATCATCAAACTTTAAAACTTTTGTTCTGTCAAAGTCCCAGTTAGGAAAATGATAATCCACAAAATGGAAGAACATATTTGCAGATCACCTTATCAGAAAAATAATTTGCACCCAGAATACATGTATATCTAAACTCTCAAAACTTAACAATAAGAAAAAAAATCAATTAATTGAGAAACAAAGGTTTGAATATTCACTGTACCAAAAAAGATAGGTGGGCCACAAATAAATACAGGAAAAGACAGACGTTCAACACCATTATTGGGGAAGTGCAAATTAAAACCACACTGACATGCGAAAGCCCACTTAGAATGGCTACAACTTACAACGAAAAAAAAAAAAATAAACAAGATCACCACCACCAGTATCAAGAGAGCCAGGATGAGGGAAAACCAGAACTTGTATGCATTGTTGGTAGAACTAAAATGCACAGTAACTTTGGAAGAGATTGGCAGCTTCTGATAGTCAAACACACACTGACCGTGAGCCAACAACCCTACTGCTAGTCTTCACACGTGAGAAATGAAAACTCCTGCTCACACAAAACCCTATGCACACATGTTCCTAGCACCCTCATTCATAATCATCAAAAACTGAAACGCCCCAAGTTTTTTGCCTTCAAGCTTTTATTGGATAAACCATGGTACACCATACAATGGAATACGACTCAGCAGTAAAATCTCTGCTATTCCTGCGACTTGTTTGAATCTCAAATATAGCAAGTCCTTGAATAATCACTTTATTATTAACACTGATGAGTAAAACCATTACCCCAGTGGGGTCACTGCCAGTATGGCGCTCACACATTCTCCCCACCTGCGTGGTTTTTCCCTGGGTACTCTGGTCCCCTCCCACATTCCAAGGATATGCATGTGAGGTTCACCGGTGTGTCTACACTTCCCCAGCTTGGGGGAGTGTGGGTGTGAGGGCAAGGCAGCCTCTGCAGGGTTAGTTCCTGCTTTGAGCCCTGAGCTGTCACCATGCCTTCGGCCACCTGCAATGCCTCACTGGAATCAGCAGGTTGGAAATGAACACAAACAACTGCTCGATATGACATGTGTTTGGGGTCTCTATTTAGGAGTCTGTTGGTATTTCTGTGGCCAGAAACAATCAGTAAGATAAACTAACCTATGGTGAATTTGATTTCATTAAAGTTGCAGTTTCCAAAAAATCTATTGATGATGTTAAGTGAGAACTTACTGTACATTTTGCTAAAGGGAAAAAAGACCCAGAGGCTATGTGACT